GGTTGTTAACATCGCAGTTTATCAGTGGATGTTTGCTGGAACTACTTGTTAACAGCTTGTTTCCTGACGGACACACACAGCGTGACTCCGGTCAGGTAGAGACCGGTCTCAAGTCAGCACCGATGCAGACTCGCTGTTTGAGGGCTTGATAGCCCACTCCCCCTCCGCACCGCTCCACACTCGTTGGTTTGGAACAGCCCTTAATGTGGCGGACCCTCCACGCGAACGCGCAAACGGAGGGGTAGTGTGTAGGGGTAGGGTGTAGGGCGTGGTTTGGGATTGGGCCTGTCTTGGAGCGCTAGCCAGAAGCGTTACGTAGTGATGTCACAATGAGTCCAATGGAGGCGTTTCAAAAAAGCACAATAAGGCCTCTTTAAATTAACTAGAGAATCACACTCTAAGATACCTTAAAAGCTTTTAATCCAGATCACTGATTTAAATGTTCTCTCTTTGCAAAAATGATACTCTGAATATTAATATGTTCCTATTCACAGAGAAGCCATGCAAACTGTCAGGGATCCGTTCCCATTGTCACAATCCTTTCCTCCAGAACTCCAAAGCCATCATTTACAGTAGGCTTTGTGCACATAATTAGCATTAGCTTTTTTCATTTCACCTCGCACCAACAAACGGCCGATTGGAAAAGGCTCGCAGCGATGAGCAGAGGAGCTTTTGAAAATGAAAATCTCAATGATGCCTATCTATCCTCCCACAAATCTAAGAATAGCTCCGTATCATTCAGATGGAAATGCGGACCGAGGCACTAAATAGATGGTGGTGTTCGTCACTTGTGTGTGTCAACCGCAAGCATGTGAACAAATGTAATGCAATTTGGTTTTCTATGGTTTGGCATCTTGAACACTGCATTGAAAAGAGAATGACTAGACACCAGACTATTGCGCTGTACATTATCTGACAAAGGGTCTGAGAACTACTAAAACAGTTGTTCCCTTTTGGTCTAGTCTTAGTGTCCAAATGTATTTCAGACATCAGGCCACGTATAGACCAACCTCACATCATTAAGTGTTTTTGAGGTAGGAGACCCCCCCCCCCTGCCTGCAATGCCTCATTTGGACTCCTTTGTTTTAGTGACATCACTATGCAACACTCAGGGTTCTTTTGGCAAGCCCTTAACACATTAAATGTGATAGGCTAAGGGGCAGGACATCTTTTAGGTTGACCAGCTAACCAATCAGAGCAGACTGGGCTCTGGTTTCAGACAGAGGGTGAAAAGAGGAAATATGAAACTGAAAATGAGCATAATAGGGCCTCCTTAAAGCCTTGCTATTGCAGTTGTACCCATTTCATGTTAAATCCATTGTTAAAACAAAACATGCAAACAGGTCTTATTAAAAAGGCAATAAAACAGCTGAGTTAGGAGAAAATATGTGACATTTTCAGCGGGGCACTACACTTTTTGATGTGGTCACATTTACAACAATGGTTAATCAATTCTGTTTCGTCGTTTTTATCCTTGGGCTACTTGTTGTTTAAAGTTGCAAGTTTTAGTGACTTTGATTTCTAGTCCTAACATACAGTATTTTGGTTTATCTGTTAACACTTTTATACAAAGGTTATATTTGTAGTGCCTTATAATCACATAAAACTATTTATGAACTCTCAAAGTCATGCATATCAACTTATAAAGCGGTTTATAAAGTATGATAGTGGTGGACATAATGCATTTTAGGTTGAGCGTTGATTATGAGTTATATCTGCATGCCAACAGTAATTTTGAAGGCTGAATATAAGTATACACTTTAATGCGTTATTATTAATATTTAAAAGGGGTTTTAAACTCTTTAAATGCATTATATTGTATTATGAGTGTGCTTTAATATGAATTATAGACATGACCTTGATATGCCGTGTAACCCACTGTTCTTAAACATTATAGAAGGGTACGTTCTCAGCCTCCACCTTGAACGAACCCAATGAGCTCAACTGAAAAATGCTGACGGAAGAAAATATCTCTTGAACATGAGCCAAGTTTTACTGCGGGAGGCTGTATACTTTTAACTGTGGTGCCAAAATGAGAATCAAACATTTGACAGGCTTCACCTTGACTCAAGGTCACACTGAAAGGGAATTAGGCAGCAAGTAAAATATGCGAACCGTCACCCTATATTTAAAGACTTATGACAATTCACAACCAAGAAACAGGATTGTGACAACAAATGAAAATACATGGGTGTAAAGAGTTAGTATTGAACTTATATAAAGTTTTAGGACTCTCAC